TATATATATATATATATATATATATATATATATATATATATATATATATATATATATATATATATATATATATATATATAAAGTGTGGATGACTACATCTTATATTTAACTATGAGAGTTGTTGATATTTGATACCCATATAATATCATCCGTTAGAAAATATTAATATTAATTAAAATCTAGACATTAAATTAATGTGGTATAAAAATATTTAATATTTAATTTGATAATAGACTCAGGCAAGTAAATTATACATCATAAAGTAATACTCAATAACAAAGTAGTATCAAATGAATGTATAAGTCCTAGCTCTCACAGAAACACTTTTGTTTAAGTCAATATACTAACTAAGCATCTAGTTCTTTTAAACTTGTCTTTTGATACCTATTGAAATATCTTCCACATAAATAAATTTAAAATGTCTGTAGAATTTAATATATAAAGTAAATCATGTTAAATAAATTTAAAATCAATTTAATTTATAAAGTAAATCATGTTTAAAGTTTAATAGTTTAAATGTTGTGTAAATAGTTCCGTCACTAATGGCTATACATTTATTAAAGGTTAATGATATGTGATGTAATAGCATTTTAGTAATATAGCAATAGTTCAATATATTCCATTACAAAATATATGGTCATTATTAAAATTCAATTTTCTTATTTAGATTAAAATACTTACATTAAAATGAATAAAGTATTTTTTATACAAGACTCTAACGAGGAAGTAACAATCAATAACAAAACACTACCCAATGAAACTTTGAGTCCTAGCATTTACTATAGCACTTGAGTTTAACTCTAGATACCAACAAAGTACCTAATTCAATTAAACCAATATTTTGATACTTATTCAAACATCCCCACATAATTAAAGTTAAAATATCTTTTGAAATCTATTTCAATATAAAACAAGTTTAATAGTTTAATAGTTTAATTGTTGTGTAAATAGTTTGGTCCCAAAGTTCTAGAAGTTTATCAAAGCTAAATGATCTATGAGTTTGTAACATTGTAGTAAAAAAAGATTTCATAGTATTCCAATACAAAGTATATCGTCTTCTAAAAATTCTATGTTCTTCCTTTCTTTGTAATTAATCAAAACCTAATTTGAGGTGTAATGTACAATATAGACGCACAAAATGAAATATTACCCATAATTTTTTGTAATTGTATAAAATCATACGATGTTTTAAAATTTTTTTATGAAGGATAGGATTTTATCATATTTTCATTGTTCTATGTTTTTGTATTGTCCAATGCAAAAAAGATGTAACAATTGGCAAAAATATAGACTTTTGTACGATGATCTATATTAATCTTAAATAACGAATAATATATTATCTAAAAATTATAAGAGAATTCGTTACAATTCAGACAATAAATTGAGGAAATTTCACGATCTAAGAATTTGTCTAATAACAATGTTATTTAACAATCTGAACTACAACCAGTTTCGTGAAAACGATTGAATGAGAAACCATCTATTCAAAAATATTATAATAGAACTGCTTCGGGTAACGGAAATTTTTTAACATGGTTACGTTTGATTCCATCAACGAAATTTCATACACATCTGTAAGAAATCAAACTTAGTTGTTTACGAACGAAGACGCCGGAAAAGAAGTAATATTTTACCAAATGATAAATAAATAAATACTCTAGACTTATTAAATTACGTATTTGGGTAGAAGTATTAAAGAGCAGAAGCAAATATAATCTATATATTTATACATATATAAAATAACCTACGTAATATATATATATATATATATATATATATATATATATATATATATATATATATATATATATATATATATATAGTAACATAAGAACATTACCAGAAACAAGAAGTGAAAGGTACGGGGAATATTATGTGAAAGTTATCCAAGGATGAATATATATATATATATATATATATATATATATATATATATATATATATATATATATATATATATTCAATTTAAGCAATTCACCAAATATCCTACTTCTTAGCTTACGTATTCTTCCTAACACACTTGAGCATGCACATGCATAATATCTACTATGGTCTAATATTAAAGACATTAAATAAATTAACCCAAACAAAATCTAGTTTCATTCCCTCTCAAATCTCGTCACCCACTTCCCTCTCCTTAAAAACTAAATGGAAACAAGGTAACTAACTTCTAACTTGAAGGGAATACTCAGCCATTTGTAGGAGCTAAATCAAATCAATATGATTACTATTCTCTTGTGAGATTTGCATCTATCTTATTCTTTCCTCCCGCCATAAATGCATCGACACCTTCCCCATCTACTCTATTTTTACCTTCTTATAACACATACGTTACAATAAATTAGCCATTCAAGATCACTCCACAATTCAGCCCCTCCCTCACTCATTTCCCAGTAGAAAATGAGAGCAAGAGAGGAGCTCGTGCCCTCTCGGTTTGGATAGTAAAACAAGAACAAAAAAGACTGATGTCCCTCTTCCCTTTTCTCCCTTCAAACCATCCCCATCACCACCTTTTTTTTCCTTCAAGTTTGATCAAGTCCATAACCCAAAATGATATCTTAATCACAACCCCTATTTTCATTGTTTGTTACTTGACTGAAATCACCCAAATACACTCTTTAGTTGCTGAATTTTCGAGAACCTACACACACAAATAGTTGTTGAATTCCATGTACCAAATAAGCTCCTAAAAATCTTCCTGTTGCTACCATTTTCAAGATCATAACAACCCATTTGAATCCATTTTCACGTGACACAGATCCCATGACAACCTCTTCCATGATGCCTAGAAAGATGGTGTTCAACTCATGATATAATTCTTTTGTGATAGTATTAGAAGAAAGGTATACATAAAACTTTTACTTATGTTTTACATCTTAAAAATAACCGACAAGGTGTTATGAATAACTAGATATAATGTCTAACTTAATCCATCATCATCTATGTTAAGTCTTCCCAATGAATACTTCCATCACAAGCCTTGGAGAAACAGGGAACATCTCGACATCTTCGAACCCGATAATGACACGCAACTAAAGTGAGTTTTCTATGACCCCTATTTTATGTTTTACAAGTTTTAGGGGAGAATACACACTAAACAAATTATAGATGAATGATTTAAAGGCTTTGCTAACTAAAAGTGAAAGTTATGTCACTAAACATATCTAAGCTTAAAATTCAGCTTTTCACAGAAAAGTTGTGGTCTGTTCACGGATGGTTTTGTCCTCCTTAAACTTAATGGATTTCAAAACCGTACAATATGGGAATAGTTCAGATTTATACCTTTTCAAGGACTACTCGCACGCATTCATACGATTCTTCTACAATTTATAATGATTTTTACAAAACTACGTATCGTTTCAGAACATTTTCGTACCAGTTTGTAAAAATGAACATTTTCACTCTTGTTAGGAACCACTTAAGGTCAGGTTAAAAATTATGAACAAAGTAGATTCATTTTCAAAACTTTGAGAGTTTACAGATCTAGATTTTGACTTACCATGATTTTTATATGATTTTCTAAAAACATGGACAAAATTGCCCTTTTGGTTTATCTTGTTGTTTGGACTTTCAAATGCATATACAAAGTTTTGTTGTAAATGAGAAATACATAAATAATGATATTGTTTAATTCATACATACTTTAATAGTTACAAAAGTGTAAATTATAACAAGTATTTCTAATATGATCATGTTGACAACCTCATAAGATATGATGATTTGGGCTATATCAATTTTGGCCACTCACAGTCGGGGTGTTGTATAAATTTTGTTATTCACTTACAGTCGGAGTACTATCTAAACATATATATATATGATCACTTACATTCGACATACTGTTTAAACTCGTATAGGGACACATATGACTGTTGTCCTGTTAGAACTTTAGTAGTTTTTCATTTTTAAGCATTACAACCAAAAGTCTTTAAATCCAAACAATCGGGAATTATAACAAAGTCTCGAATATAAATATACTAGTACACATTGGGAAGAGGCTATATGTCGTATGAATATTGTTTGTAGATCGTTAAGACGATTGTTAGTTTCTATCTATACAAACACTAAATTTTTTGCTTCTCAAAAATATGATAAAAATTTACTTTTATTGTAAGCAAGTAACATGGGTACTCGTACTAGATTTGCAGTATCGGTTCTCATATGAAGCATATCGGTAACATTGTCGACCATATTTTGCACAACTTATTTTGTTAAACATTCCACGTTTTATAAAGATTTCTTTTTATGAAACTCATGGAGTCAAAATTAGTGGAACTCACCAACAATTTTTGTTAACGTATTTTAAAAATGTGTATTCTCAGGTAACTAAGGAGCCGGAGGTAGGACATCGGTTCTATGGAAATTATAGTTCCTTTCTTTTGGGAATAATCTTGAACTGTTTTATTTGTTGTTGTGTGTTTAAACTATGAATATGTAATTTCAATTCCAACACTTTAAGGTTTGTAATATGTTGATTTAAATATGTTAAGTGTTCAATATATGTGGTTGACCGTGATCCAATTGTTCAACGTCGCAACCCCGGCGATTTATGTCGTCGGTCGGGGTGTGACAGATTGGTATGAGAGATAACGACTATAGAGAACTTAGTATTTTCTTTTTAAGAAAAATACAACTATAGTCTAGGGCTTACTCTAGTAGATTTAGGAAATATCCTTATCATACAACACTTAAAAGTTAAGAATCTAATAAACTTAAACACAAGGATTTAGATCAAATACTCAATTAGGTTTCTTAAAACATAGGTCATACCATAACTAAACCTAGATGTGCACCTAAGTTTTATTTTGGTCGGGCCTCATGCATTATCCAACTTAAGCGAAGTAGCTGATAAGCTAAAATCTTGGCGTTTTAAAAGTAACATGTGATCACAAGTCAATAAGAGTCGATAGGACTTTCTTTTATTTATATGTGTAAATTTTGTGTAACATATTAGAAGTACTAAATAGTTCTTCGTTTAAATGAATAATTTATGGAGTAAAATCATGCCACCAGTAGACGAGCCTATGTTTCCTATACTACCTGGAGATCCCTATTTCCCCGACTATGCATCCGTGTACCAACCCATTTCTCCACCAAAACATGCATCGATGCAATCTGAAGAGTTCGAGCCTGAAGAAGATCCAGAGGAGGATCCGGAAGAGGAACTGAAGGAGGAGATGGAGGAGGAACCTAAGGTTGGTCCCGAAGAAGATATGGATGAAGATGAGGTGATAATGATAAACGATTCAAAGTTATCCGCCTCAATTCCACCTACTCCCAGCCGCTCTTTCTTGGATTTTCACTCCGCCGCTCCAGGAAAAACCGATAGCATTTCGGTCCTAAAACCCGTTACTAAAAAATATAACTTGAGGTTCCCTCACACCAAAAAGACGAATGAACCACCTGTTTCGGAAAGCAACCATGGGAACCAAAGAACGGCAGAAAAGCAGACTACAGGAACATTTGAAGAAGGACAAGCATCTGGAGCTACACCTGCATCTGACATGGGCATTAACAAATTCTCCTTCCTACTTGAGCATAACATCCAATTGCACGGAGAAATGTGGCATGTCAGTGATGAACTAAGCAACATGCAAGGTCAATCCATAAAAACGAAGGAAGAAATAGCCCGAATGAATCAACGATAAGAGCAGTATCGGATTTTGCAAGACAATCTCTGTCAAGAGATGGACTACCACCATAACAGCTGGACTTATTTCGATTCAAGAGTAACCGATGTGGAAACTCAAAACCAAATTGCATTAGTGGCATATGGTTCAAGGAGAGTCATACTACAATAGAAGGAAAACATAAAATACTGGAAGGAAAATATGATGACATGTCCCGCACAGTGGACAATTTTTTTTAGTTTTTATAAAACTAATTAGTCGAGTTTCCGAGAAACTTGAATAATAACATTTTGAGAATATGATGACACGTCCCGCACAGTGTAAACTTTATTTGTTTATTAGTTACTCTTTGTACCACTAATCGTAAGTCTTTACATTTTGAGAATGGTAAAGTCTAATGTACTCGGATATTAATGTTTAATATAATGAAGCATTTGTTATTAAGTTTATATATATATATATATATATATATATATATATATATATGTATATATATATATATATATATATATATATATTTGAACTATTATATGAATCGTGATCATGAATAATAACATTATGTGAAAACTAATAAAAACATCACAAACTTAACCTTTACTACTAAATGAATTAGGAAATCAAAATGCCTCCAAGAAGGAACACCAGAGCAAACCCTGAAGTAACACCAACTACTGAATCAACTATAGGACGAACTCGGAGAGGTCGACCAGCCAGAAGGCCGGTTGTGACTCCAATAACGGAAATGCCAACTTCTAGCGCTCCAATTCCACCACCTCCTGAGTCAGGACTTCCTCAAACTGCAGCAGAATTGGAACAACGAGTTTTAGAACACATTACTATTCCAATGGCAACTGTGAGGAGTTTGAATCAAGGAAGACAAGTCTTGGAAGTGAATGGTGTAACATCCCAAATTTCAATAGTAGGATTTAAAGGGTTAAAGTGTAATTTCCAAGAAAGGACTCGAAGAGTAGGTACGCTTACTCGCCGAGTCAGAAGCGGATTTGGATCACGGATTTAGTGACCAACTCACCGAGTTGGTGTTGGAATGAGAAAAACCCTAATTTTCGGGTTTGTCCCCTATTTAAAGGACTTTATGTCCTTCACCCAGACTCCTAATCCCCCAGAGAGTTCCAGGAGCCCTAATATCCATGAGTGTGAGCTTGGAGAAGTGTTTGGAGCTTGAGGAGTGAAATTTGTGAAGGAGACTTGTAGATCAAGAGGCTAGCACCAAGGATTTCGTGTGAATCAAGAATCCAATCCAGCTTTGGCACGTTTTGGGAGGTAATAAGTTGTTATCTTAACCTTTTCTTCTAGAATCATGCATATGTGGAGGCTAGGGCTTTCCTTGGTTAAGGAATTTTATTATGAAAGCTAGATCTGAAGCTAAAACTTCAGATCTGAACCGCTTTTGAGTCCTAAGCCCATAAAGTTTCCAGTTCTTGCGAGGATGAAACTCTCCTAAGGTGTAAACCTCCATTAGAAGCTTAGTTTGGTCATTTAGAGCCCCTAGAGCCTTGCATGCACGTAAAGTTTGCAACTTTACGTGATAAACATGCCCTAGAAGCTTGGATCTACAATATTGAGATGTTGCATGGCTTACAAAGCCACTATATCGATTAAGAACTGAAGCGACCCGACGAGTCACATGGGTGGACTCAGCGAGTTGTATGATGATGGGCAGGAACTTGACGAGTTGGAAGAATAACTCGGCAAGTTTGATGAAGATTGCCTTGGACTCGGCGAGTCGGGTCGCAGAACCCCGATCCCTTTCAGTTAAAGCCTTGGATTAGTGTTTTGGTTGGGGACTCAATGAGTTGGTCAAGATGGAACTCAGAGATCGTTGGACTCAGTGAGTCTTGGGGCGACTCGGCGAGTTAAGTGTGTTATGAGAGTTTTCTAGATAAGGAAACTCAGTGAGTTGACGGGGTGACTCAGCGAGTAGAGTCAACCAGGAAGGTTGACTTTGACTTTGACTTGGACCAAGGGTTGACCAGTTTGACTTCCAAGGGCATTTTGGTAATTATTGGTGTTTATTGGTTTGGTTATTTGGTAATGATCAGTGGTGAAGTTCGTGCTGGTGGTCAGAGCAGCGTGGTCTTATTTCTTCAAGTCGGCAGTTGCAGGTGAGTTATTCTTACTATATCGAGCTGTTTGTTATGTTATTGCTTTGCTATGTATGCATCCTGGTGGTTAGGATGGTATATGTTAGAGACATGGTTAAGGTCGGTATCCTAGTATATAGGATGATGCTATGTTAGTGATCGGTTAGGTCGGAATCTAGGTTAGGATGTTGATATGCTATGTGATCTGTTAGACTTTTTGTCTGGTTAAGGATTGTTATGTGATTAATTGTTTTATGTGCACATGGTTGTTTGAATGGGGTTGGGTTGAGGTGGTCCTCCTGTGTACTGTAGGCCAACATGCCCAGGGCGGACTGGATATTCCGAAGGCCCAACGAGCGGTCCGGATAGGTTGAAGGCACCAAGAAGGCAGACCAGACGTGCCGAGGCTCGGAGAGTGGACCAGGCCGACTGAAGGCCTGGTGCGGGCGAACCAGTCATACTGTAGACTCAGAGAGTGAACCAGATGGATTGAAGGCCTAGTGTGGGCGGACCAATCACACTGTAGACTCGATGTATATGGTTAGACTCAAAGGGTGGACCAGGTGGACTGAAGGCCCGGTGCGGCGGACCAGTCACACAGTAGACCCGATGTGCATGGCTGTTATGTATTGTGATGTGTTATGAGTATGGTTATATATGGTTGTTATTTCAGGGGTAACTCACTAAGCTTTTGGGCTTACAGTTCAATGTTTTGTTTCAGGTACTTCAGGAGATCGTGGCAAGGCGAAGGCGTGATCGTACCGCTCCTCATGTTTATAATATGTTTCTGGGAAATACTCTGATGTTAAACTATTTTGAAAACAAATGTATGAACTTAATGGTTTTTGAATGAATTAAAATGTTTTAATTTGGATCAAATTTTATGGTTGTTACAAATGGATTGGGAAACGGAGCTGGAAGCACTCTTCACTCACATCCAGAAGAGCCTACAAGAACTTGTTCCTAAAAGGACTTCATGAGTTGCAAGCCAAGAAACTTTTATGGCAATGAAGGCGTTTTTGGTTTAACTCGTTGGTTTGAATAGGACGAAGCTATATTTGACATATGTTACTGCTCTGAGGGTAGCAAGGTGCGTTTTGCTGCATGCACATTGATGGATGGAGCTCTAACATGGTGGACTGATCATGTAAAAACCTTGGGCATCTTAGTGGCCAACTCAATGTCGTGGGAGAGCATGAAAGAACTTTTAATAGAGGAATACTTCCCTCGAGAACATGTACAGAGCCTAGAACATGAGCTTTGTAACCTAAAGATGAAAGGATCTGAAGTCAAGGCTTACACAACAAGGTTTAATGATCTTGCACTCCTCTGTCCAGGCATGGTGAAACCAGAAGGTAAGAAAGTTGAGCGTTATATATGGGGTCTCAATCCAAAAATAAAAGGAATGGTACTTTCATCGAAACCTACCACATATCTCAATGCTAAGCGTCTAGCACTTCAATTGATCAAGAAGGAAATCTAAAATGGATCAATGGTAGCGAAAGTTGAAACTCCAAAAGTTAGCAACAATCACCACAAACACAAGTTCAATGGAGTGAACCAGAACCATCACAAAAAGACTTAAAATGAAAAGGTATATGCTATGGTACCTGTCACACCCCCAAACCGTAAACCAAACAGCAGAAACGTCTGGGGGTGGAGGACGTCATGTGTAGTTCCACAACAATTGCATCATAGTAATTAAAGTAAACACAACCATTACAATATAATATGAATATTTACATCTTGTTTGATACAAGGTTTATATACATCAAAAGTGTAACAAGTAAAATATGTGATTCCAAAAGCTCCGTATTCTCAAAAGCTGGCAAGAGTACCTGTCTACCGTTGTCTTGAGAATACAAGAAATTTTGAAAACATATCAGCATAAAGTTGGTGAGTTCATAAGCATGTTTTTGTAATGAAAGCCTGTGAAGAGATCTATAAAATGTATGTATGTTTTTCCAAGAAAATACAATATTTTCTAACATGTTTGTTTGATACTGTAAGTGAAGTATGATTCGTTTTGAAAACCTTGGCTACCACCAGTATGTAATTTATGTTCTGTTTTGAAAACCCTGGCTACCGCCAGCATGTAAAGTACTGAGGTTTAATCTGGGAAAATCCCTTATTTTCCCTTGTATGCGTGTGTTGTTGCTGTAATGGTTCTTAAACTGTAAGGCATAAGTATCACACTTATGTTATTAAAGAAATTGTTCATGAGTAGTATATTATTCCGTAAATGTATCGTTACTATTGGTGAGTTTTATGACCATACTAAACTTGATATGATGTGAATTTGACGCCAATATCCTTTATGAATTTGTCACCCGTAGACCTACTGATCCTACTGTAGCTAGCAGCAAGGTGCGAGGTAGTCAATCCCGTATACATCTATACACAAAAGTCATGCTCTCTCTCCAGGAGACGCTGATTCATAAGGGTAGTCCTCCACTTAGTTAAGTTTGTAAGCGCCCAAGGACGTGTCTCCCAATTAGGTTAACGACTTACGAGTAATAATATATGAAACGTGATGTTCCTTTATACTTGAATTCGATGTTTGTATTGTATAGTAAAAATAATTATACTTAAATAATTATTAACTGTTTTACTCTTGTAATGTGTGTCATAAACTAAATCTGTCATAATTTATTTGTTCAATCGTGTAAGTGGTTTGTATCTGTAAAACCAGTAATGAAATTCCCCAAACTATACCTATTATAGTTTGACTGTTATGTTCGTGAAACTATTCTGAAAACTATGCAATTAAATTTAGAAAATGTCCCTTATGCTCTGCATAATACAAAAGAGATAAAGTATCTAAATGCTTTATGGAAATCGTTGATTTGTATGATATTGCATAAGTTTTGACTCATTGAAAACCTTTATGTTTGGCTTGTATCCCCCCTCCCCCCT